AACTTTTAATTTATACAATAACTTCTGAAGTTAAAATGATATTCTATTTTATACAATAACTTGTTTAAAAAACTTGTAGTTAATTGCAAGATTCTTTTAATAATTATTTTCCTTAAATGCTTCATGAGAATAATCTAATCAGGGAGTCCAAGATAAAAAAAAATTCTCTATAGAGAGGAGTCCTTGTTATTGTTAGTATCTGCAATGGTTTCACTTTTGTCTCCATAAACTGAATGATAATATATGCAGATTTATGCTGGTTCCTTCTTTGCAATTCCTTTGGTTCGGTGGTTTTTTGTTCGGAAAAGGAATTCCAACATTGAAAAGAGAAACAAAGTTAGGCAGCAGTGTGCACGAGTACTTGAGTTGCCTGACATTTCATTGACGCAGAAGGTATGTTCATCTATTTTCCCTGCAAAATTAGAAAATTATGAGCATAAGTTTCAAAACTTTCCTCATATTATGGATAGCATATTAGCATCGTCTCTAGTATTTTATTTACTATTGTTGAATTTGTGATTATGTGTAAAGATGAGAGAAAATATTATTTATAATAGTTATGTATTTGATACAAAGACTCAATTACTGATTTACTAATTCCTATTTATAGGGATACATAGACTCAATCCTTAAGTAAGAAAAACAAATCACGATAATAATAACTTGTATAGAATCTGATACTGAGATATTCTAAGATACTTTGAATTAATATAAAAGATATCATAAAATATTTTATATTATTTTAACACTCCTCTTCAAACTGAAGCTTATTAAGATTTAAGCTTGTTACAAATACCCTTTACAATAGAAAATCAAACCAACTAGTATTATAACCACGGTGAACTTTTACAAACTGCATCCAAACAAAGTTGCAATGACATTTAGTCAGATGTTGTGCTCGGCTTGAAACAACTAGTTTAACTAGTCAGATGCAGTGTTGTTAAATATCCGGTATAGCGCCGGTATACGGGTATTGCATATCGGAATTTTGACTATCCTATACGAAAGCCGGTATAACATTTCAATTTCGCGATGCCCGAATATCAGCGATTTTCCGGTATACTGGTATACTGGTTATGAATGGAATATATTTTTATTATTATATTTTTATAATAAATCATTTTTAAAAACATTAGAGTAAGGTGAAGAGGTGAAAAAGTAGAAACATTAAAGAGGGTAAGGTGAAGAGGTGGAAAAGTAGAATCTAAAGAGGTGGAAACATTGAAAAAGGAAAATGTGGACTACTGAGTCGGTGCCTAGTATTATATATACCCGTTCATTCTTCCTCTTCTTTCATACTGAAGACGCTGCCCTTGATGAAGGGTCTAGAGAACTTCATCAATAATTTTACTTTTCTATTATTTATTCTTTCTAGCTTCTACAACTAGTATAGGGAATTATTACATTTTAATGTTACAAATTCATTCTAAGAAAAGGAATAGGCTAGAGCATAAGAGACTACACAACTCGGTGTAGTCCGGAGATACAACTATAGGGATGAAATTGATCTAATTTCACTTGCTGACATAGAAGACTCGTGTAATGAGTGGCTGGTTGGGATGATGGATGGTGATGAAGTTGATGCTGGGAATGGAAGAGTCTTTGAGGATGAGAATGATGAGGATGCCCTTAATTGGGAAGTTGTTTACAGAGCTTCAGGAGTTGGAGAGACTACAAGATATAGTTGGAGAGACTACAAGATATACTAGGCAAACAACTAAAAAGAGAAAAGAAACTCTCAACCTTAATGTTATTGTCACTTCATCTAGAACAAAGAGAAGTCGGCTGGTTTTTCATCTAGGAAGGGAAAGCAACAAGTGATTGGATTGGAAGATCCTGTCATCAAAGAATCCGAAGCAGAATTTGAGGATATTGATTCAGATGATTCAATTGAAGAAGCTGAATGATATGCCTAACTATCTAAAAAGGAGAATAATGATTATGTTAGGGTAGGGGAAAAGGAGAATAGTTAAATCTTTTATCATTAGTTAGTCTCAGACTTAGAAGAACTACTAGTTATTAGTTTGAGTTTTAATTCCTTTTAAATTTCTGGTTGTAGCTTTTCTGTTTTAGTGATTGGATTTGAAAATTTTCAAGTTTCAATTTTCAACTTTTTTAAGTTTTTATTTCTATTTTAACCGCTTTGTGGCTTCTGATATTTGCCCGCTATGCGATCCGATATTTCTCATATTGGTTTTTTGGTGATCTCATTTTTTCCGATATTGATATTTGACAACACTGGTCAGATGTCGTTCTCTGCTTGAAACAACTATAAAATTGAAATGAATATTTCTTTAAAGTTATTTTTTTAATAAATATATCACTTTTTGATTTTGCTTTATAATTTTTTTCTTTGGTTTTAGTCTTTTAAAGTCGTCCATTTTTCACTTTTGGTCATTGTTATTTTGTTCTAGTTCCTGAAAGATTTGGGTCATATTGGTTATACACCTTATATGTTGTGAGAATTTAAAATCAACGTGCTCTGCATATTATAAAGGACGGTTCCTGGATAAACAGTTATTACAGGACAGAAAACAATGACAAGTAAAAAAGTGGTATATTTATTAGGATTAAAATCACAATTTTCTTGGACAAAAAAAGATATTTATGCATTTCTTTAAAGGACCTATAGGCAACCTTGAGTCTGTTTTAAAAAATATAAATCAGGATAGAAGAAATGCTCTACCAGATTTAGAACGATTTTCATTCTTATTTCATGCTTTATGATGGAAACTATGCCCTATTTGCAGTCCTCCTCTAGCCACCTTAATTGCGCCATTTGGGGTACCTTTGCTGCCTCCAATACCTTTATTTTGTTGGGATTGTGTTATTGTGTTGGGATTGTGTTGGGTGTGACGGGTCGTCTTTAGTCCCACATTACCTAAAAATATGACCTAAGTAGTGCTTTTAAGTGGTGGAGATCCCTCACTACTCTTAAAGCTAGTTTTTGGAGTTGGATTAGTCTTTAAGTCTTAGATTCTAGGATGGTTTCAGAGCCAATTCTAGATCCGTTGCTGGGTTGCCCTCATTATCCACGCTCTAAGCCCATTGAGGTTGGGTGTTTCAAATTATGCCTTAATCGTGATCTTCCCATAGCTGCTTTAATTGATTTGTAGCATTTGGGATGCCTTGATTGCGGTCTCTAGCACCTTAATTTTTTTGGGGGCCTGGGTGCAAGGGTTCCACACACATCCCCTAGAGGTATGGCTAACTAGTTCTTTTAAGTGGTGGCATTTCTCATTTTAAAAATATGTTTTGTGAGATCGAATTAGGCCTTGCCTAGATTCTAAGTGGCCAAGGCGTGAAGTAGTGTGTTGCAAATTCTGCCTTAATTACAGTCTGCCCCTAGCCGTATTAATTGTGGCATTTGGGTTGTCTTCATTTCATGTTTGCAACCTCTAGAACCTTCATTGTGTGTGAGGAGGTGGGTTTAGTTCCACACCGGTAAAGATTGCCTAACTAGTTCTTATAAGTGGTGGCATTTCTCATTTTAAAAGTGTGGCCAGGGCGTGAAGTAGCGTGTTGCAAATTCTGCCTTAATTACAGTCTGCCCTAGCCGCATTAATTGTGGCATTTGGGTTGTCTTCATTTCAAGTTTGCAACCTCTAGAACCTTCATTGTGTGTGAGGAGGTGGGTTTAGTCCCAGACGTGTAAAGATTGCCCAAGTAGTGCGTATAAGTGCTGAGCATCCCTCATCTTTCTAATTACTCATTCTGTTTCAAATTACAAGTCACTTTGCCAAAAATATTTGTCCCAAATTATAAGTCATTTTATTTCCAATACATTATTAATGATTTTTTTGTCTAACATACCTTCTACTATTTCTTTCTTTCTTCGTTCAATTCTTTTAATTTTGCTTTCAAATGTTATTATTGAAGGATATTTTTGTAAAGTCATACATCATTTCACTTTCTCATAAAGTAATAATTTTATTTCTTAATTCGTGTGAAATGGCCGAAATGTCATATAATTTGAGATGGAGGGAGTAGTTTTATGGGGTTTGAGTAAGACCCAACTAGAATTCTAAGACTATGGAAAACATTCGACTTTATTTTATCGTAATGTTACACATGCTCTTTAGAGTTTATAGGCATTCCTTTAAATTACTCTGATTATGTAAATGAATTTCAGAAATGATTTCCTAAATGGATTTTCCATTTCACTATATTAAAGAATTTTATTTCATGTACATCCTTCCTCCGGTCACTTTTTTTTTATCACAACAAAATCACTGAATTTTATTTAATAGAACATATTTAATACATCGAGGAATCGAATTCAACAAACTGTGTGTAGTCCAAGAATTGGCCGCCCTCGCAAGAGAGTGAACAATCATATTCGCTTGACGCTTTACAAATTTTACCTCAAAGTTAGGAAAAAACTGAAGTAAATTAGAAATAGACTTAATAACAATACTAAACTTAGAAGCACCCTTATTATTAGAGTATATAGCTTGTGTAACTCTTTGGCAATGACTCTCAAAAATAATATAACTCAGGTTCAAAGAGATAGCTCCAAGTATGGCCTCTTTAAGGGCTAAGGTCTCCACTTCAATGACAGTAAGGGTCCCTGGATCCCAAGCAGTACTTGCATTAATGAAATTTTCCAGATGATCACGCATACACCAACCTGTATTAGTAGTGCCATTGGTATTATTAAAAGCCGCATCCACATTATATTTTATCCAGCCTATTGATGGAGGCATCAATTCCAACACATGAGATGGTTGAGCCTATTGATGGAGGCATCAATTCCAACACATGAGATGGTTGAGTGTTGTTATCGTTAACACTTTGGGCTTGAAACCAATCATTTCACCTATGAAACGCACACAAACCCAATTTATTCGCTTCTTCATGTTCATGCTGCCAAATGAAATCATTTCTATTTTTCCATAATAAATTAATCATAACCTCAATTCTGCCCGCAATCTTTTTATCCTCCTTACAGATATCAAAGATAAGGGACTTGAAACCATGGGAAAAATAATGGCGAGATTCTATAAGATTAGACAAACCTGAAGATCTCCAACAAAAATAATTGCAGCCCATAAAAAGATGCCATTCGTCCTTAGATCACAAAACTGACAAATTAACGGGCACATGACATAGTGTTGTCGGAGACGCGCACGAGTAGGAAGGTATCCCTTACAAATCCTCCATAAAAGACGCTTAACTCTAGGTGGAGCAATTATATTCCAAAGACAACACCAATCCTCCCCTGCAGTACCACTTTTCTGTCGCCTAAATTTATCACGCCAGATTCTGTACCTTGATTTCACACTATAAACACCATCTTGTTCTTCCTTCCAAATCATCGAATCATCTTTTACATCCTCCAACATCAGTACCTATAAAATATTCTATCTGTATCTACAACATCAAAGAGATTACTTACAATGTCATAATCCTATCGTTTCTCATTAGGCATCATAAGATTATTAACCGTAATAGCATACACTCCTTGTTGTTGATGTCCACCCATGCAACCTTCACTGCTGCCCCATAACCACGGCTCTTGCATAACATTAATATTTCTACCATCTCCCACACTCCACCTACACCCCAAATTAAGAACCTCTCGAGATTTCCAAATACTCCTCCAAACAAAACTAGGATTGTAATCAAGTTTAGCATCAAAAAAAGAAGTATTAGGAAAGTACCTTGCTTTAAGAATCCTAGACACAAAAGCATGAGGTATGGAGAGAACATTCCAACCTTGTTTTGCAACCATAGCCATATTAAACGCCTTAAAATCCCGAAAACCCAATCCTCCCTCCTTCTTCGTACAAGTTAATCTCTCTCACGCCATCCATCGAATACCTTCACTCGTATTCCCGCCTCCCCACCAAAAGGAATTTAACATTCTCTCTATCATTGATAAGCGTATCCGGAAGAATGAAAATGCTCATCACATAAGATGGAATAGATTGGAGCACCAATTTGATCATAACTTCTTTACTAGGTCTCTAGAGGGGTTCTCCCTTTCTAAGAATTAATCTTATTCCAAATGCGATCTTTAATATAAGAGAAAGTTTCCTTTTTACTCCTCCCTATCATGGATGGTAGCCCAAGATACTTTCCAGAACACATGACGAACTCCCATTATACTCACCAAATCCTCCTGAGCCGATTTAGACAAATTTCAGCCGAGGAAGACTTTCGACATAGACAAATTAATCTCCTGTCCTGATGCCGCACTTATAAACAGAAAAGTGACCTTAAATTTTGGTCACTATTATTATTATAAAAAATCATTAACTTTTAGACTTATTAATGCTTGTATTACTATTATACCCTTAATTTAATTAAAAAACATTTAATTTTGGTAATTAATGTCGTGTAGTCTGTTGGGCTTAGGATCTCTTACAAAAAAAAATTCATCAAATATAACAAAGGATATTGTAGTAAATTTTACTTTAATTGTACATGAAATCAATAAAACTAATTACACTTAATCAATTTTCTTAATCAATGTGAAAGTAGTTATTTTTGCTTATAATTGTGACATGAGTGAGTATTATTTTTGGATGATTGCTTTACTGATATTTGCTCGTGGGATTTGATGGGTGCAAGCAGTTGATCCAGTGTTCAACCCTTGACAGCAACGTTTTTTTTGTATTTTCTTATAATTTACACCTGGAAACAATATGTTGATACTTATAAGTTAACAACTTTTAGTGACTTTTTTGGATGACTGCGTGTTACTTGATCACACCCAATAAGTCCTTGTCAGCTATGTTTTTATATACTTCCTTTGGTTCTTCATTTGTCTGGTTTTAGCTGCATTGGGGTTGCATTTTACGCTAGACATTCTTTCTGAGACTATGCTTTATGTTTTCAGATTTTCAACGCACGGGACATGGCTCAGAAGACAGTAATAGGGCAGGATCAAATTGTGTATAGTACTGACAAGGACTTTCTTGAGCAAGAATTTGAAGCTAACGAATGGGATAAAAAATTTCAGGAGCTAGAGAGATCTGATTGAGAAGGGTTAACTGTTATACAGGTGAAACAGTTTAGCCGCTATATATATGAATAATATATTACGGTGTTGCATTGAAGGCAATTGGATGATCACAGTAGAATTTCGCTGCTTCAATGATGGGGTCATGTCATGTGCATGAAAATTTCAGGCTCCTTGTATTTATTTGCATCTTAGCAGAGTTTAGGCTGCGTTCTGTTAAAGTATTGGGTAATCCCTTGCAGCATTTGCTTGTGTATCATAGTTCTAGTTCATCTTTTTTAGATGTTGATCTATACCAGACTAATAGTAAAGGTTTCAATAGGAAAAACAAGATTCAATGTAATACTTGGTATAACGGGCTTTATAGTTTTTTTATCTGATTAATGCAGAAGTTCTTATTGTGCAGAGGCGCCTTTCACTTTTTAGCTTTTGAGCCTTGGGAAAAGAGAACTAAATTGGCATTTTAATAATTGAACTGATAATAAATAAATTAAGTTTAAACATTTTAAAAAGAAAATTTGTAATTTAGCTAGGACTTAAGCTACATGTTTTTACAGAGCTGTTTATGATTACAATTCAACACATTTTTTACTAATACAATTCTAACACATTGATTATGTATTTTATAAAAGTCAACGTGTTAGATTAAACTTAAGAAAATAGAATAAACTTGTTACCAAAAAATAGAATAAACTATAATTTTAAAATTTAAATTAAGATAATACTTGACTCAATTTTTTGGGCAACATTTAGGTTCATTTTCTTGTGTTAGATTTCACTATTATCCCAGTACAGTTTAACACATGAATTGTGTATCCAATAATATTAGACAAATATTATTCTATATAATAAGTTGTAATTGAGCGTCAAATAGAAAATAATATATTTGTAAATTTGTAACTGAGTTTTTTACTCAATGACAAAGCTGTTGAGGATTCAGAAACAATTTAAGAAACACCAGCTTCCCCACCAGAGAGCAATAAAACGTGTATAGATTGAAACCATCACGACTAGGACTGTTCATGGTTCAGTTTCGTCAAAAAAACTGAACTAAATCAAACTATATAAGATCACCCGAATTGTATCAAACTGTTTTAATTTTTTTAGAATCGAACTGAATCAAAAGAACTGAATCGAACAGTTTCAATTTTTTTAGAATCGAACTGATCCAAATCATACCAAACCATTTGAAGATAATTTTTTTCTAGATCGAAATCATTTGTTAAAGAATTGAATCGTTAAATTTGTTTTTAAATTTTTTTAAATAAAATATCATTTTAAATTTATTTTTAACATTTTTTATAAGCTTATTTTTAATATAATGTTTTACATAATTTTTAACTTCAAAAATCAGTTTTTTATAATTTATCCATACACCATTGAGTATTCTTTATATCATACTGCTATTAAAATTTCATGCTACTAAAGTTTCATGCTACTAAAGTTTCATCCCATCTCAAATTCAAATGCAAACATAAATATATTTCATTTTCACTTGTGCAATTCACTGTTAAAATTATATCTCAGTATTGAAGTATCAAAATCTGAACAATTTATGCGATAGATTTCTCTTCTAGAATGAATTTTCATATGGAGATTTCATCAATTAGAGGATTACCTCAATTTTTAATAATATATAAATATCTCTTAATTAAAATCACTTTTTCCACTAATTCAATATCAAAACATGCATAGAAATAAATTGAAAAACAATTTAATTAAGTGTTTATAGCGTAATAATTTATACAGGTACTTGTAGATAACTTGTTTAGGAAACAAAAATAAAATAAATCACTTCGGTTTTCACGGCAACAATTTCATGTTGGTTCCGTTTTCATATTTTCATATTTTAAAATTAATAGTTTAATTTTGGTTTGTATTTGGATAATTTTAATTTGGTTCGGTTCAGAACTGTTAGTAAAATAGTGATTCAGTTCATTAATTAAATATAATAATTTAGTTATTTTAACTTCAGTTCAGTTTAATGGTTCGGTTTTGTAATACGGTGGAAGAACTGACTTGTTTTGTATTTTATCGCAAATGTTGCGGATAACAAGAGTGGTTATCGACTTTTCTTTTATCCAATTAGGAAAGAGTGAAAAGAACATGAAAGACCTTAAAGATTTTGAGTTCGGAGAGTATGTTATAAAAAGGGAAGGTGTTAGCACACTTTTCATCCGTAGTTATCTACGGACTCTTAATTGCTTAACTCACTTTGAAATTTTGCTTTTTCGTGTGTTTGAAAATATTTTAAAAATTTGCCAATGTAAGGCAAATTTTGTAACGATTCTTGTATTAGTCCTCAAGAATGCGTACAAAGTGTTTTTGAAAATATTTGTTGTTTTGAAAGTGTTTGTGTAAAATGTTTTATTTTTGAGAAATTTGTGAGTAAGCGATTAACAGTTCTACCCAATCAAGGTCGTTCTTGTACTTTTCCTTCTCCTTTAGATAGTGTTATCCGTACCACTAGTTAGTATGAAGTCCTATCATTGGATGTGAAGGGACATGCTTAGGATCATCGTACGGTCATCAAAGGCAACTAGCAAGGACACTTTAATAATTTCGTAAGGGACTAGATCATTTATCAAAAGGCAACTTCGAAGGGTCATCGAGGGACTATGATCTTTTATTTGAGGGACTTTGCTAAAGCGTCCCTACTTTCGTGAGACATGACCGTTTTATTCCAAAGGCAACGGGAGAGGTTACCCTAGAGGTGCGAGTGTGCAAGTGTGTTAATTTCAGTTATTTTAGTCTGGAATTTAGGTTATCTATCGATTGTGTTTTTATCTTGTCATACAAACCCTAGTTACTAAGCAGTAATAGCAAGTATAAAAAACAGTAAAGTGCGGAAAATACATCCTAAACTATTACAGGGCTTTGGGACAATTACATAAAAAGAATGCGAGAAAGTAAAATATGGAAATTTAGACCTACACTATTACATTCCATAAACAGTTACATAATAATAAAAAAAATGTGAAAAAAATAAATCTAAATTATTACATTAGAACGCGTCCTATAACAGCAAAGGAAAATGTTTTTAGTGATTTTTATAAAAAATAATTTAAGATAATTAATTAAATAAATCTAAAAAGAATTAATTAATTAAATTAATGAAAGGTTAATTAAAAAAAACCTAAAAAATATAATTAATAAGTATTTAAAAAAAGGTTTATTAAAATAAATTTTTTTTTGTTTTTAGGTTAATTAAAAAAAATGCTTAAGGTAAAAAAAAGGTTAATTAATTAAAAAGAAAATAATTGAAAAAATGAGATAATAAAGGTTAGTAAAAGAACAATGAAAAAGAATGATGGGGATAGGTGTTGAATCGACGCCCCCTGCCTCTCCAGCGCGCCTCTTTACCACTACGCCTAACGCTTGTTGGTGTCAAGGAATCAAATGCGCTGCAATACATACGAAACCTGCAAAAAATATGAAAAAACAAAGAAATTTTGCAAAAGGCAGAGATCGAACCCACGCCCTAGTGCAATAATGCCTTAACACGCGCGCTTCTACCACTGGGGTGGCTATATATCCGTTCACTTAATCAAATTAACACATATATATTATAAATCAAATCAGGATGGTCGGAGAAGCGCCAGAGCCCTAGCTCCGATCGTCTTCTCCGGTAAATATATTTTCCAAACATTCAAAACAAAGCACATTAGAAAAAAAGAAGGACCACATCCCCCTAAATCGACCCCCCCTGAATCCAATGGCGAGGTCATTTTGGCTTAAAGGGGATATATCAGGAGTTTCGAAGCAAAACTCAGCTCACGCCCTAACCATGGAAGTCCTTGCCTCTGCGCCAAAGTTCACATATTATCCATCAAACCTGCTCTAATGATGTATATGAACACATGTAAACGTATAAAATTAGTTAAGAATGTATAAACTAAAGGTTTGAATTTGAAAAAAACTACCAAAATCGCTAAGGATAGAACATGATGTTCAGGGCACAATTTGAACTGCTTAAGGATTGGGACGACCTCCTGGGAACATCAAGATGATGATGGGATGCTTGAACTGGCTTGAGGATTGCTGCAAACAAGGCTTTGTTCTTGCCCTAGTTCCTTGAATTTTTTAGAGTTTT